TCACGTTTAAACGATGCTCAGTTGGTTCTAAGGGGCCCAAAGTGTGCCAAGAAAATATCCCCCACACAATTACACCACCACCACCAGCATGAACAAGGCAAGAAAACTGCAGCTCACTGGATATTTTCTATTTTCCACACCATTCTCTGTAAACCCTAGAGAGGGTTGTGCGTGTAAATCGCAGCAGATCAGCAGTTTCTGAAACACTCAGACCAGCCCGTCTGGTACCAACAACCATGCCACGTTCAAAATCACTTAAATCCCTTTTCATCCCCATTCTGATGCTACATGCCTAAATTGCTGCCATGTGATTGGCTGATTAATTGAACAGGTGTTTATAATAATAATAATAATTCATTTTTACCATGTACTTTCTTTTACTGTTCCCTCCATCTCTGTGTATGTTCCTGCTGCTCTGCAGTTTATGTAACTTTAAAAGCCAATTCTGCATCCGTTTGTGTCCATGCAGGTCTGCAGGGTCAGATATGGTATTGGACTCTACTGGGAAAAACTGCCGTCCTCCTCCTCTTCAGTTTGGCCTCCCTGGCTGTAAAATACAAGAGAGGATGAGAAGAGAAGGATCCAGATCTCTCTCGCTCTCTCTCTCCACAACAACGCTTTGTTCCTGCCATTCATTTTTAAAACTGAATTCTATATTTTCAGTTCTGCATTCCCTCCTCAAATTAAACATTTAATGTTAGTGACGCATCTCTTCTGGACGTAGTTTGACTTCCTTGCTTCCCTTGAGAAATTTGTTTGTTCATTCTATTGTTTGATTTGTGTTCCATCACAGTTAAACACACACACATTTAAAATGGTCTTGGTTTTTAAAGAGGTGGTGTTGTGCTTTTAGCATTTTTCCCTGTGACGTCACAGGGATGAAAGCTAAATGCGCCTCGTAAAGCTTGCGAAGCGGCTACTCCGACACGCCCTCAAAAACACCAGCTGCCCTCCAGGCAGTCAGTGGACATAAAGTTGTTCCTGTGATGTAGAGACAGAGCTCAGGTAAAACTTTATGGATGAAAGATACTTTTGTTACACATTAATAACTCACCACTCTGAAACATGTACAGCTGAAACAAAGTGGTGTTTGCTTCTCACTGACCCGCCCTTCTCTGCTTCTGATTGGCTAGTAGTCCTTAACTAGGAACTGAGCATGTGCAACTCCCAACAAAGATCATTTAGAGACAAGATGTATCACTCCACAGCTAAAACGAAGCCTTCAACACAGGGTGAAAAGAGGAGCTGCAGCAACGTGCAGTATGACAAAAAATACGGTGTTTTTTGAAAATTAAACCATGTAAACCTTTTTCTGGTACAACCCCTAAATAAGATTTTAAACCTGAAAATGAGCAGAATACCACCTCTTTAAATCCTCACATGTTATGGTTTTTAGTGTTCAGTAATCTCCTGTTTTATTCTTATATATTCTTGTTTTATTCAAATTTGTCCTCATGTGTTTTCGTGAGTTTTACCTACTGGCTTATTTTGGAGTTGTATGTGTGTGGTGTTTTTGTCTAGTTCTGTTTCCCGTCAGCCCTGGGTTCTTATTACTTTTACTACTTCTATTTCTATACAGTAGTTATTTCTAAAGCTTTGTTTTTCTGGACTTCACATGTTTAAAATGAATCTGTTTTTTGCAAATAGAATAGAGAGAATTTCAGAGAAAAGACTTTGAAAAAGCATTTGGACAGTCATGGAGGGACTAACATTAAAGGGTTAATCAACTAATTAAATAATAAAAAATAAAGAATCTGAAAACGTTTGGATCACGTAATAGAGCATTTCAAGGCCTATGTACAAATATACAAGGTAAAATGTGGTTATCATTATACACACAGAACGTAACAGATAATTAAATGTAGACTTATTTTAACATGAAATAGATAAAATAAAACAATATATACTGCAGTTACTTATTAGTTACACCCAGAAAATTTGTAGTACAATTTTTTTGTATCGGGGGTGAATGTAAACAGCATCAACAAGATCATAATTTGCTTTTCAAGTCTGACAAAAGATCCAGAACATCAGAAAACTGGGGCGGCTTTTTCTGTCCCAGAAAGAAGATCTGTTGGAATAAAGCACGCACCAAAACATCCCCAGTGTAAATGACACAATGCCACAATAAAGGACTATTTTAACAAAATCTACCTGCCTGATGTTATTGCTAAGGACGCCGCAATCAAAAAAGAGTGAGCATTGGAACTAATTCACTCCGGACCTTTTATTGGAAAACTAAAGCACAAACATTAGGTAAATTTGTGTTTGGTAGATTATTTCTTATACCACTGGAAAGGCTGATTATGTCCTGTTTAAATGGTGCCACGTTTGTAAGTAACATGCATGTGTGGGATGAGCAGCAGAGCTGCTGAGAATGTGGGTTGCGTCGACTAAAAATTTGCCAGATCTTCTCTGACAATGCCAAACAGCTTTTCTTTGCTCTTGTTTTGAGCTTCCCTAGGGGTTTATCAGAGACTACCTCCAGCAGTCCTGATCTCAACCCCATATAAGACTTGTAGGATCAGCTTAGGCGTGCCGTTCGTGCCAGAGTGACCAACACAACCACCACGTTGGCTGACTTGCGACAAATGCCACTTTAAGACTGAGATGCCTTCCCACAGCAGTGTGTGAGCAGCATGAGGGGGAGTTGCCAGGTTGTTGCTGTGGCTGTGTTTGGTTCTTCCACACGCTCCTGTTTGTTAAATGAATAAATTGTTAAATTGCCAACAAGTCTTGTTTCTTCAGACTTCAATCATCCAATCCACCAAACTATAGGCTGTCAGGCATTGTCAACGATTATTTGACAAATCTTTCACGGGCCCAACTCAGCTCTGCTGATCATCCCAAAAAAATAAAGAATAATTGCCAAGAAACATTGCTGCAACAAAGAAATACTCTGCTAAACACATGTGTCCTTACTTTTTGTGTGTAGTTTTGGTTCAGGACAGCCAGGGGTGCAGACAATGCAGCTGCACTGGGGCCCGTTGTTACTACCTTACGCCAGTGGTTCTCAAAATTTTCCACATTAAGGACCCCTGAACTGACACAAATTAGACCACGGACCCTAGTGTTGTAGTGAAGACCGCCCAAACCAAGACCAAGACCAGAGTTTACCAAGACTGAAACAAGACTTTTAGGGGCTGAGACCAAGTCGAGACCAAGACAAGACAAAGACCAAGACAGTTCCTCACATTACATGACACACAATAAAATGTGGAACGAGATCATAGGTACTTCTCAAATTGATCTGAAAGATCCACATTCCCATTATAACACCCACATACAAACACTAAGAGCTGAAATCAACCTAAGCATCTTTATTCAACGCTCCTTTTCCACACTTACCATCGCAGGGAGGGGGGACAGTCGTTATTGGTTGCATTTGATCAGTAAGTTTTACATCGAACCAAAGTTAAGATGTTAGCAAATAAATCAGACAATGCAAAAGCTATTTATTAAACTTCCCAAAGTTATGGTCTTGACTGGTCTTGAAATAAAATCCTGAGTCCTCAATGTCCGAGACAAGACAGGGGGCAATTGTAACAATTTTTGGTAATTCAAAAACTAATCAGATACAATTTTTATAGAGGTAACTTGTATCTGTGTTTTATTTGTTAACAGTCATCAAATGTTTTTACAAGCAATGTTAAAGTCACAATATTGATTCAAAAACTAGATGTGAAATGTTACATCTGCCCCCGCGTGCAGGGGCGATTGTAACAACACACATAATTCCTTCATATAGATACCAAGGATCAAAATAAACTACCAAGAATATAGATATAGTTAAAACAATTTAAGATCTATTGATATTACTGCTTGAAACTTCTCCTTTTATATTAAGTGGTACAAGGACACATGACAAATGTCATAGGACAGCCCTCCCTGAGTTACCCCTCGTAGTAGGTTATAGGTCATTCATATACATTAATGTTTAAACTGAACTGAATTATTAGAAAGATGCTATCATCTATTATTTTCTATATTGAGCTTCAACACAATGCTCCTATTCCAAACCAAAAAATCTAAACAATGTTGATCTCTTGATAAATATGTTGATAGATTATTATTGCAGTATTTAACGTTGTGACAACTTGTCATTTTTAGACATTGAAAATATTAAAAGCATGAGCAATTGGCTTATGGTGGGAATTGAACCCCTTTCCCCAGAATGAAAACGCCAAAGATTTAACTATTGGAAAATGCTTCAAAACACATATTATATAAAATATATGTAGATATTTAAACTGAACACAAAAAAAAATAGATATTTTCAATGTTTTAATTTAATTTAACTGTAACTCCTACATGACAAGCTACCCTGCTAGCTAGAAACAATGAAGTATATATCTGACAAAGATATCAAATGTTAGACAACAGAATGGTCGTCAAAAAAAGACGTTGGTGGTCAGGACAGTATGAGAAAAATACTGCAGATGAAAAAAATGACTTTCATGGCTCAAAAATGAATCTTGGCATAAAAACGTTGACAAGAATGGCTCATCGGCTTGTCCTTTGTCCTTCGGCGGGCAGAGAGGGGACGTCCACAGGGAGAGGGCAAGATGAGTTTCTTGGTTCTGTCTCGTTTCTGATTGGTACAATTTGAGATGTTACAATTGCCCCCGGTCTCCCTACAAATGCGGTCGAGTTCGAGACGAGACCATCAAAAAGTGGGTACTACAACACTAACGGACCCCCATTTGAAAAGATTTTGTCCCAGGATCGCCGATCTGACAGAATTTTGGTTTTCAGATGTTTTATTGCAGAAAGTGTATGAAATCCATGAAGAACATAGTCAGATAATCAGTCTCTGTGTTATTTATGGATGGAATTGTACTGAAAATAAATGATTCCCCTTTTTGCTAGAAACCCCTCAAGGACCCCTGGGGGTCCCCGGACCCCACTTTGAGAACCACTGCCTTACGCTACTGGTTCAGGAGGATCACCAGTGGGAGGCAGCAATGCACCAACTAACACTAGTGTTCCGGAAACAACAGAAGAAGAAGCAAAGCATGTCGGCGCCCTGCAGCAGGATTTACTGACAGGCAGCGACTTAGGTCAGAATAACAGCTTTAATCCTGAGAAATCAACCAGAGGGACACCAGGAGGGAACATGTTTCCAGAAACGGCTCAGTGTCTAAAGACGGCGGCTCCGCTGTTGTCTAGAAAAGTCTTGTTGAAGGATTTGTCCTCACATGGAGGAGCCAGCCGGCTGCACGCACGGAGACACTTCGGGGTCGGCCGCTGTCTGACAGCCAAGGTCCCCCCTGCGCGCAGACCCATGGAGAGAGTGGAGATCCCCGGACTGGAGATGGTCACCTTCGGCGAGAAGATGCACTATGTACCGGGGCTGGCTAAGCCCGTCAGCCCGCAGTGGGAGAGGGACTACAAGGACCCGAGATTTTACAGGTCCCCCCCGTCTCACGAGATGCCGCTGTTCAAAGAGAAACCGTGCCATGTGTACAACCAGAGGACCAGCGCGCTGGAAGGTAAACTGGCTTCACAAGAACGCACGGAGAACGCAATCACTGCAGGGTTGTTATTCCTGGGCCCAGTCGTTCAAAAGGTTTAATCTGGATCAGCACGATCAAGTAATCCATTTTACTTATGCTGGGGGTTTTTTCAAAGCAATATTGGAGTGGATCACCCTGATCCAGATCCAGACTTTTCAATATTACCAAATCCAGATTACCTGTGCTCTAAATGGTGCTACATATCACAATTTAGGCTGTTAGTACAGGCAGGAAAGGCAGCGTGGAGTCACTTTACATCACTTTTATTTAATAGACAGAACAACAAGAGACATTTCCTTCCATTTTCATTTTCTTTAAACAAACACATATACATTATTCACAAATACACTGTGGATTTGAACTCGTGTTTCTATGTGTCCAAACAAAAGAACATTCTTCTTCATTTGCAGTGAAGGATGTTAGAAACTCCTCCTAGCTGGTTCACCTCTGATAATTGTGTCATTGTAATTAATGCACAGTGATAACAGCGGCAGATATAATGAAACACATTATTTTTGTTTGCTATTGACAGGTGTTGACTTTACTGTACTGAAAGGCGACGGCGTCGTTTTGTGTTGAAAAGTGGTGGGGACATTTAAGAGCTCAGATTAGGGGTGTGGTGAAACACTTATTCCACGAGACGTGATAATGAACAATACTGGAGTATAGAGAACAAGATAAGAAGATACTCCAATGTTATTTATAAGAAGTATTCATTGATGAAATAGACTATTTGATGGTGGGTCCTGAGGGGCCCATTAAACTCTTAATTTCCTGGATTCTAGAGACATTTTCTGCATCAATTTATGGTGGAAACGTCTATTTATATTACATTTTATTCATTTAGCTGACGCTTTTATCCAAAGCGACTTACAATTGCTATACAAGTCAGAGATCGCACGCCTCTGGAGCAACGAGGGGTTTTGTGTCTTGCTCAGGGACACAATGGTGGATTAAACCCGGGTCTCTCACATCAAAGGCAGGCGTCTTATCCATTGCGCCATCACCACCCTTGAAGGGAAACAAAATTCATGTGGCCGATGACAAATCAGAATATAATTTTTTTTATCAAATACAATAATAATGATGATAATAATAATAATAATGATGATAATGCAGTAATCAGCAGCTTGTTTTTTTAGCCTAACTTACTTTTTTGGACAGGGCAGATCTGTTTCTTCTGTATTTACATTGTATTTCATGTTTTCCTGTTGTGCAAGTAAGAATCTTTATTTGTTCTTAAACATTTCTCGTTGCAAGCTAATTTTCAGAAAACTTTTAGCAAGTGCTTTCAGAAAGTGGTGGGGACATGTCGCCAGTGTAAATGACACCTATGCTGAAAGGCTTAATATGTAATGTGCAAAATATAAACACCTGTATAGCCTATATAGGCTACAACATGGTAAATGTTGTATTATTAGACCAATTTTAAAGTTTTATTACAGTCTGTTTCCTAAAATCCACCCTTCTGTTGGGATTTATTTTAGATTTGATCCAATCCGATAGCCGAAGTCCAATCAGATTACTTCTGAACAACTGGCCCAGGTCTTTACTATAAAGCCTCAAAAGAAAGTAGTGTTGCTTGGAGAGTTAATATATTAAAAGGTATTTAGTCATGTTTTCAGAGGGGTGCACCTTTGCTGGTGATCAAACTAGGGCTGGGCAACAAACAATGATAATTATCTCGGTATCATTTTTCCTCAGTAATATAACAAATGTTCAATAAGTGTTTGATTTAATTTATTTGAATCACGAACAAACTCGCACTTAATTTTTCTATTAAGATTTAATTTTGTTAGGAAAGGGGCTGAAAAAAAGATTTTACTTTAATCATGATAGGACCGCTGGGGAGTGACAGGAAATGTGAGTGAGAGAGGGGGGGGGGGGGGGGGCAGCAGGCAGTGAAGGCCACGGGTCGGACTCGAACCCGGGCCTCGTGCGAGAACGTCTGAGCCTTTGTGCATGAGATGCTAGCGACGACCTAGCCGGCGCCCCGTACTTGTGCATATTTGTTGCAAAAATATTTTATCATAATAGTTTTGAATGTTCTGCCTCAGATTTGTGAAGTGATCCACTGTTTGGCATCAAGTGTTTGTTCTGACCAGAAAGAGAAGTTTAAAACCACAGTTAACTTTCACTCAGGAGCAAAAATCAGCCTTTAAACAGGAAAGAAATAATGATTTGACATTTAGTTCACTCTCACTCACAATGACACGAAAGAATAATAAGCTGGTCAAATGGCATTTTAGTTGATTGTGCTCACTAAATAATGTGCAAGCTGGTTTTCTATCGTCTCTGAGATGGTTGAAGTCTGTCATCAATGTCCTTTTTTGTTGCCCACAGTCTCCTAGTCCTGGCAACATTTAAAGATCTATTTATTCTGGGGTTACTTTATTCCTAAATATAAAGAACATAGTGTGTTTGACAGATGGTATGTTCAGTCTTTTACGTGCGAGGAAGTGACCTCAGAGTTATTTTTCTAAATGTCACTTCGGATCTTCACCTCTCTCTCTCTCTCTCGCTCTCTCAGGTGTGCGTCAGGCTCTGTGGTTGACCAAAACCAAGCTGATCTCTGGTCTGCCGCCTCAGCTGCTCTCATTGGCGGAGAGTCCTGCCAATCAGATACCAGATCAGGAAGAACGCGTGCAGAACGCCATCAAACATGCCCGCTTCTGGGACACGACAGAGGAACGACCAGGCAAAGAGAAATACAGGTAGTGTGTCACGACAACGTGCATTTAGTTCAAGTTCATTTTATTTATATAGCACGTTTTATAGCAGCCACTGACTGACCAAAGTGCTTTACAGAACTACAGAATTAAAAGACAATAATACCATGCATAACAGCACAGCATAGAAAAGTACAGCAAAGTTAAGAACAGCTTTAAACAGCAGTAGCCAAAGCAGTATCAGACTCGTCAACAATAACAATAAAAAACGTTTTTAAAAGTGACTTAAAAGAGGTCACAGAAGGAGCTAGCCTAACTTCTGTGGGCAAATTGTTCCACAGGCGAGGCCCAACCACAGAAAATGCTCGATCCCCTCTGCGTTTAAGTCTGCAGTGAGGGACTAATAACAGATTCTTTTCACCTGATCTCAGACTTCTCGATGGAGTATATGGTTGAAGCAGTTCAGATAGGTAGCACGGTGCTTGGTTGCATAGAGATTTGTTACACAAATAACAGGATTTTAAAATCAATTCTGAAATTAATGGGCAACCAATGAAGAGACCTCAGAATTGGGGTGATGTGGTCACTTTTCCGACTATTTGAGAGGAATCTTGCGGCGGCATTTTGCACCAATTGCAGACGAGCAGTTTGAGTTTTCGAGATACCGCAGTAAATTGAATTGCAGTAATCTACACGTGTGGTGATAAAAGCATGAACAGCCATCTCAAGAGTTTTAGGATTAAAAAAAGGTTTTATTTAGTGTGTTTTGTCAGTAAAAGTAAATTGCGTGAACACTGAATAAATAAAAACAGTTTCTTTTTTAAATCACTGCAAAGTATTACAATAAAAGCAACAAAAGAAGTTGCAGGTTGCACTCTTTACAGAAAATGTACTGCAAACTCAGTCTTTGTGTGTAAATCACCAAAACCGGACTGTTTCAAACATGCCCCAAAGATGCCAAGTGGTCACGGTGCCAGTTGAAATTTCCGACAAAGCGCTCCAGGTGCGAGTAAACGAAATACATGGCTGACCTTGAAAAAAACTGAAGTTTCTTTGTCAAGTTTACACACAGTTGAACCCTCTGCAGAGCCCTTAAGGATCAGCGTTTTCATGGAAACAAGTGGCATACATTGCTCGTTAACGAGCTCATTCGGTTGGTAATTCAGTAAACCTTTAGACATTTTTGGGCATTTTTAACATTTACTTGAATAACTTTAATGCAGAGAAGATGACTTTCAGAGATTGTTTACTGTAACCAGCTACCTAATAACACTGGCAAAATATTTCTACATCAATTTACATGCAGAGCAGGTTTTACTAAACTGCAAATATACTTTATTTGGTTAGTGCATATTATTACTAAAGCAGATTTTTTTCACTTAAATAACTTTTTCAATGCATTACTTTTACTTTTAACAGAGTATTTTATATTGAGGTATTAGTACTTTTACCACCACTGGTCCACATGTGACCAGTTCCACCACTGCCTCCAAGGTATATTTAAAATGAGAACATAAGTAGTACTGCATCCTTGTCGGATTTGGTGACAGGTTTGTGGAATTTGCACTTCTTAAGGTGTGTTCACACTGAAAGCGAAGTTAATATTCGCCTTGCTTTACGCGCACGAGTTTGACCGCTGGACATTTTGAGTGTTCACACACAACGCGATAAGCGGATAAACACAAACCACAATTACTACAGCTGTATGAACCCGAAGTACACCTTTTGCTGTGATTTAATTGCAATAAACGCATCAAACTGATGCCGACATAACTACAATGTGATGCCGATTTGTTAGACATATGAATTGATGCTTTGTCAGGTCTGTCAGCAGGACAACAACTTTTAAAATGTGTTTGTTTTCTGAATGGAGTTCGGATCGATCAGGGCTACGCTATGCTAACTTGTTCACAGTAAAGTACAATGATAGCTGGAATAAAGTTACAGACACATTTTCTGAACTCACCAGGTAGTTCAACTTCCTCGCTTTTTTCTCTCCAAGTAATGTCCAGCTTGGTCCGGTTTTTATATAAATATGAAGTCGTAGTCCAGCAGAACTCCGGTGCCATCCGACGCTAACAACATCAGTGGAACCCGGATGTGCACGGAAGCTAGCTGCCGAGAAGCGCGAGTGAAGATAAATCAAGTTGTAATCGAAAAAAACTAAAGTAAAAAGCTAATTTAATAAAAGCAGTTAACTCTGAGCTCGTCCCGCTGGTAAACGGCGTAGTGTTCAGAGCAGAATCCAGAACGACTACGGGTGTTTATTTGTCCAATAGCTGCAGCGCTGCTCCCCGTACACTTCCCCGTTCTTTAGCAGCTCTGTGTCGGCCAGCGGATTGTCATTACACCGCTCGCCAGGTCCTCTCTAAACAACGCTCCGAAGCTGCTGGTGACATTTGGACAATCTCACCGCTGATTTTTTTATTTCTCACCCAAGTTGAAAAATTTAAATTCGCGCGAACCAGCAAATTTCAGGACAAAACGCCTCAATCGTGCGCCGTCCAGAGCGAATTTGCAGGAATTTGCGTCTTTGCATTGATTTTGTATGTAATCAAGCTGCCCAAAACGCTGGATTTGCTTTCAGTGTGAACACACAATGTGATGGATACAGGTGCTGAGATGGTAGATGGTTTTGCTCGTTAGATACGGTTTGTATGCATGAAACCTTTTTTTTGTTTGTTTTGTCACTGGTCACTGACACAAAGTTGAAAGTGATTGGACTTGTGGCGTAACATTATGCGGGCAACTCCGGAAGTAGCACTGCAGCAAGGTTTGGCCTCTTTGCTCTCTCCAAAGGAAAACAATGATTAATGTCAGCAGCACAAAGCCATTCTGCCACCAGTCATGTTTAGAGAGCCTCAGTTCATCGTTCAGTCACCTTAAGTCACCGGTTGTTGTCTGGGGATGAAGGAAGCAACATATTGCCGATGTAATCAGGCTTGTACAACCATTTATTGTCAAGTGACGCAAGCTTTTTTTCAAAGATCGAGTAACACCACAAGAGAAATCAAAAACAGGGCAAGGTGATGCAAGGAACGAAGGGAAGGGCTGAGGGACGAGCCAAATCAACTAACACAACAACCCAACTAACCTTAATCACCTTAATAACTGCAACAAGTTAAAAGAACAAAATCAACAAAAGCCTACCTAAACTTACCTGTCACACAAAACTCATAGTAGAAGCCACATTTGCATGTGCTTTTTGTAAACCCTGTTGTTAGATTCAGAGGTCTAAATGTTTCAAATCCTCTGACAGCTCAAACGTAAAGTTGTATTGACTCACTACGCTATGATGGCAGCACAGCTACTTTTACTTTACTGTTTGGGAAATAAATCTCTGTCCTATCTTTTGCTGTTTGTTTGTGTGTGTTCCTTTCCCAGCAACACTTTGCTACTGAACTTGCTCCATCTGTGTGCAACTCTACAGTCCACTCATCCAGCGCTTGGAAGGAGGATCTTTGCTGAGAAATACTCACTGGCAGCAACGTGGAAAAGAGGTAATAGCTGTTGTTAATTAGGGGTGTGATGAGTCCCTCAGCTCTTCCCTTCACAAGTCAGTGCAGCTCTCAGGTATTCTGTGAAACATGCAGATCTGTTTCTCCTGTAGATAAACTTTTCTCCTGTAATATCCTCCCCGCTGAGTCATGGTTTAGTCTTCCCTTCTCTTCTGTTTCTTTGTTAGGGGAAGTAACCTCTTTAAATGTGACTGTGGCGCCTTTTTACCTCAAGGATAAATTATTTAATTGTTATTTAGTTAGTAACTCCTGGACTTTAATAGCTCCTGTGTTTCAGCAGATTTTCTGCTAATGGTCAAAACTTTCTGCACATTCAGAATCTCTCCCACATATCTGTGTTCTCTGACAGGTCCAGAGAAAAGTGCTAATATTACCAGACATCATTTGATGAGAAGTCTACCTGCCCTTTACTCTGCTGTGCATTACGTTATTGATCCGCTGGTAGTAACGTTTTCCCCTTCCGACCGTTTGACTGACGCAGTTTGGGATTGCATGTGAAACCGAAACTAACTGAAACACTTGTGATCAGGCAGAAATCTCTACACAAATCCACACACATGACATGACGCGTTGATTCACTCTGTGTGTTTATCTTATCAGTTATACATTTGTATTTCACTGAGTGAGGGAATTAATGTGACGGCATGTGAAAAAGGTCAATTGCGTGAGTTATTGCAGATTTATACCTGACAAGAAATATCCTCATAATTTAATCTCGTCACACCGAGGGCTGTTAGGACTCAGCAGCGCGGTATTATCGCATCTTTCATCAATGAAGTAATTTGGTGCCATATAGCATAGTAAGAGTGTCTATCAAGTCAATTTACGTACTGCAGCAACACACACGTGCGCTGTCCACAACTAACCACTGCGCTGGGGTAACATTAAAACTAAATTTCAACAGAAAGCAACATGAAAAACAGCTGCAGGCATCCGACACACTACGCTCGTTAGTTAGCTTCAAATGAGGCTTACTGTTCAGTTTCTTTCGACTGTCCCTCAGGATTACAACGTTAGTCCAACGTCGCCGAGCCTGCTAGACACATTAGCCGCGCAATATGCTAACGCCAAGTTAGATAACCTTTGAAATAAACAGTAAAACAACACAAAACACGGCAACACTTACAGCTTTAGAGCTTCAGGCGATCCATCCTTGAACCGTTACAGAGCTCGTTACGGTTGTGGAACTTTTGAAGCACTCATCATCATTCATTAATTTAACACGCCCTGAAGTGTAAAGTATGAACATTGCGGTTGTTGCCATCCTCCGCGGTAGGCTTGACCAATAGTGTCAATTTTTCATGAATGTCTGTAGAAAATTTCATGTCAATCCACCCAATATTTCAGTCTGGAACAAAGGGATAGACTGTCTGGAAGAGCTACGCCGCAAGCACGGCCAGGAATGAGTCTTGAAAATGAGTTAATGCTGCCTGAAATAAGAATAAATGTACTGAATGGATTCTAATGGACTTCTGTTTCCATTCTACGTTTGTGCACCAGGTGAGGACCTGTTCCAGGTTAGAGGTCAGAACGGTTTACTGCATAACTGCAAGGATCCTCTCCCCGAGATTTCCGGGAAACAGGAAGTGAGCGACACGGCAGATCACGTCCTGGAAACCTTCTATCCCGTCTCCCCCACCATCGACCTGCAGAAAGTAAACGTGTACAAGGAGGAGGTGAACTGCACAGGTGAGAAGACAGCCAGTCACAGAAATCCTGGTCTAGTTTGTCATGTCCGTGGTTTGTCAAGTGTTCGAGCCCAATTAAATGACTTCTGTTTTATCCAATTAGGTTTCAGGGGCGACTACCCTTACCCTCATGCCCACACACTTTACTTCCTGGAGGGAGCTGACGCTTGCTGTAAGCTCCGCCCAGAACAGTTCAGAGCCAAGATGGTCATGTTCACCTTTGGAAACGCTCTGGCCCGTGCACACAGACTGTATGGGGTAAGGAAATAGAATCAGGAATACTTTATTGATCCTCGAGTGGGTAATTCTTGTGTCACAGTTGCTCAAATTGCACATTAAAGTATAAAAGAATAGAAATAATACTTGGAAAGTTGGTAAATAGAATATAAAAATATAACCAAGAGTGTGGAAAGTGTGCAGTATTTTACAGTAGGCTTTATGATAATAGTGTAACAATAAATAATATGTATTAAAAATCCTTTAAAAATGCAGTATTTGACTGAGAGTGGAGAATATTGCACATTAGTTTCAGAAATATGGCACTAAAAGGTCAGTTACTGACTAAGAGACACGTCGTTGTTATAGACGACAAATCTGTGGACATACTGTATTACCAGTTGCTGCTCCTCATTCTCTAACTCTCTTCTCTCTCTCTCTCTCTTTCGACCTCTTACACTGTGTGCGTCAGCCCCAACCCCAGCGTGTATTGGACCGTCCTGTAACCGTACAGGCTGTGGGGACCAACGGTAGAATTTTCCAGTTTATGGTTTTCCAGCTCAACACCACAGATCTCTCAGGAGACGACGGCGTCAAGAACCAGGTGCTTCATTTTTTTCTACTAATAGCTGCTTTGTGAAAAAGTCCCCAGATGTTAGTGGCTTTGAAGGAGCATTTGCTCCATTACTGCAGATTTATACAGCTGAGAGGACTTTTGTTGCTGCTAAGAAACTGTAAAAAACTTTGCTAAAGCCTTGCAGTAAACACACTGAAGGTCACGGTGACAACAAGACTCCAGGAAGTTACTGTGCCTGACCAAGAAATCATGCAGCACTTAAAGGTCCAGTGTGTAATATTTAGGAGGATCTATTGACAGAAATGCAATATAATATCCATACCTATGTTTTCAGTGGTGTGTAAAGACTTTACATAATGAACTGTTGCGTTTTATTATACTAGAATGAGACATTTATATCTATATACATCCTAGGTCCTCTTAAATGAAGGTCGCCATGTTGCACCTCCATGTTTCTACAGTAGCTCAAACTGACAAACTGCTCTACAGAGCGCGTTTTGTCACTACGTTGAATACGTAGGAAGACAAAGAAGAACAAGTAACGTTAACAGTAGTAGTAGTAGTCGCAGTTCTCTGGTATATTAGACGTAAGATGAGAAGTGAAATTTGGACAAATGGAGGACCAAATGGATTATTTAGCACAAGAGCCGTCAGAGCGCGTCGGCCACCGTATCTAACATAAGGAAGTTTATAGAACTTTGATTTGTGCAAAATCACGTATTGCGTACACATATTTTTGTAAATATGTAACTTGTAATATGGTTATAACGGGTAGTTAGCTGTCCACGCAGAGTGAACTAGATGTCTGCGTGTTGTTTAAATGCTCTGATAATGTTAATCCATCACATCTTTGTAGCAGCGTCCATGTTGATTCTACATTCAGACTTAAGAGCACATGAACGCGCACTGAAGTCGGAAGAACGACTTCACAGTGGAACCATCCGAGGAGCACCTGAAAGCGCCGTGAACAGCTGATTGCAATTTCCAACCCCCACCACTAGATGCCACTAAAACTTACACACTGAACCTTTAACTCCCATAAAACCACAACTTGCCTTTTTTACATTTCAGTTTTTGTACAGATTCATATTACATGTTAATTAGCGCGCTTTAGAGGTTCTCGTAGGGCAGATAGACTTTGGATAGAACCAGGCTAGCGGTTTCCCCATGTTTCCATATGTAGCCTCCGGGCTCGAGCTTGGCAGCTACCTGCAGGGACAAAACAGAGCAGGAGTGAAAAATGGGGGAAGAAATAGTTTCACATATGCTAAGCTAAGTTAATTGCTTCCTGGCTCTGACACATAGTAAGCATACAGAGTTGAATCAGTCTACTCATCTAACTCTAGAGGGTAAAAAGAAAGTGAAGAGGAGTACAGATAAAGGTCACCTTTATTGATGAGTAAACTCTAAAACAACATGAAGCAACTTTAGTGATACAAGGAATTCAGGCAGATGTTGCAAAACTTTTTTTTTTTAAGGAATATTTGTCTTTTGGGTATCAAAAATTCCTTCCACGTAGGCTTGAAAGCTAGCTCTGAAAAGTTTGTAGTCTAACACGGTGGGAAATACGGCAGCTGTGGAAAAATCTTGTTGGGAACAGACAGATTGAGAGTTTGGAATTGATTGATTTAAGTGTAATGAATTACAATATGACCACAGACCCCCGCAAACCTTTCAGAGCCACGTTTAAAGAGGTGCAATTCTGCTCATTTTTCAAAATCTTATTCAGAGGTTGTACCAGAACAGGTTTACATGGTTTAATTTTCAAAAATCACCATATTTTTTGTCATACTGCACGATGATGCAGCTCCTCTTTTAACCCTGTGTTGAACGCTTTGTTTTAGCTATGGAGTGATACATCTTGTCTCTAAATGATCTTTGTTGCACATGCTCAGTTCCTAGTTAAGGACTACTAGCCAATCAGAAGCAGAGAAGGGCGGGCCAATGAGAAGAGGGCCAATGAGTGTTTTTTTTTAGAGCGTGTCGGAGGAGCAGCTTGGCGAGCGTTATATGAGGCGCGTTTAGCTTTCATCCCTGTGACGTCACAGGCTGGACTACAGGCAGTTTTCAGGCAGTTCAGAGCAGAGTTTTCTGTGGGAGATGGGAACTCCCTTTGGGCTTTTTCACTTTGCAAACCTGTTACATGCACAAAAAAGCAATATAACTAGGGAAAAAGGCCGAAAAGCAGAATACCACCTCTTTAAGTCTACAGGGGGAGACTGCTGAAGATTCAGTCAAGAGTTTTTCAGTGGAGTGCATCTTTAACATCAAATTTTCATATTTAAAAAAAGGTTTTTAGTCTGGTTACACAGATCAGGACTTTAGGAGGAAAGTGGGACTGTATTTCTGCACCTCACTGCTTGTTATTGCTTTTAATCTGGACTGAATAATATGCTGTAAATTCAAATGCAAAGAAGAACTAGTCAAGTAATGAAACAAAAACCTATGCTTTCACACAAAAATCTGTTTTTCCATTTCAATCAGAAGTCAAAGTAAAAAAAAGAAAGAACAAAAAAAGCTTGATGCAAGAATAATTTTGCTCCTTCTGTGTCTGCTACATTCAGGTGTGGCTGGAAGAAGATGTTGAGCTCTACGATTTTGCTAAAGTCCGACCACTCATCAAGAAGAAGCAAGTGAAGGTACGACCGTAATCAATTTCTGCCAAGTGTAGCGCGACTTTAAGTCATGTTCTGTCTCAAGACACTTGCCTCCTCATCAAATCAGAACCATTTATGACACAAGAAGACAAATATTACCAGTGATTTAGTGAGCTATATACGCTCTGAATGTACTGCATATGTATTTACTGATAACAGACAGGACGACAGAGAATATTTAACAGGAGAGGGCAGCAGTGTAAGGTTGAGTAATTCTGTCTCCCCGTAGGTACCGGCTGGTCTGGCAGGATACAAGAGTGAAACATTCAGCAAGTTCCTGGCCCTGTACCTGCACGGAGCCGTGTAGGACAACATGTGTGTGACTGAGCAGTGAGTCACCTTTCAAGTATGTGTGTTTCGTGTGTCTGGGATGTAAACCAATATCTCTTCCCTTCCTGTCAGTCAATGAGCTGGATCATTTCTACAGACTGAAGCTGCAAATCTCATTTTAACAATCTGACTTCTCCTCCTCCTCTCTTTGTTCGTGCTCGCCCAATAAAAAACTGTCATTTTGAATATGTACTTGTGTGTGTTTGATGTTTTTATGCCTTACTGGTCAGCGCATTGAAAATGAACAGGAGCTCCATACAAAAGACACAATGACAGAATTAATTGGTTTCATAATTTTTATTAACTATCTGAAAGCAAAACTCCTTTCAAATGAGAGTCTGTGGTGTAATAAAATGAAAGTGTTTTTATTAAAGTAACTTCCTTCCGTGACCGGTAAAGATGTCCAGTTTGTTCAGAGCGCGTCCAGTTTCAATCACAAGGGAAAATAAAAACCACTGTACCTAGAGCTGTAAAATCTGGACTAGACTGCCCCAGAGAGGCTAAAGTTTCTTTAAGACACAGTTGCATATTTGTGAAACCTTTATTCTATTTGTAAAAACGAAACAAGAGGCGATTTATATGTTGTTGTTTTTTTTTTACATGTAAACCACATTAAACCAGTCAGTTGTGTCAGTTTAGGGGTCCTAGATCTGAAAAGGTTTGAGCAGTGATGGGGTGAATGCAAATATGAGCATAATCTAGACAAAATAGGTAGAAGTGATGGGATAATCTGCATATCTTAAATAAAAAAAAAAAAAAAAAAACTAGAAAGGAAATAAACATTGAGTCCATCCTCACCTCCTCCACCACCATCTGGTTCGCTGCCACTGCCAGGGACGAGGGCAGACTGCAGCACATCATTCGCTCTGCAGAGAAGGTGATTGGCTGCAACCTTCCTTCTCTTCAGGACCTGTACGCCTCCAGGACTCTGAGGCGAGCAGGAACGATTGCAGCTGACTCCTCCCACCCTGCACATGGTCAAAACAGCTTCTTACCCATCTGCAGCCAGCCTCACCAACAAGACCCGGGTCCCCCACTGACTCTCCCAGCTTTCAAATAATACAAATGTCTCTGCACATGTAAATATTATTTCATTTCATATCATGCACAAACCTGGCAAATTGCACGTTTGTAAATCTTTGTTGTTGTATATTCTTATATTGTCAATTTATATTTTTATGTACACAATATTCTCTTCTGTTGCAGTTAGTCTGCAAAACACGAACCCGGAATAAAGCACATGTAAATATGTGCAACGTTCTTTCTCTGCAAATAGTTTATTGTATTTATTTTTCTCTATTCTTTTATTATTCTTATATAACTTCCATTTGTTTACTCCATATTTACATATTTCTACATTTATTTGTGTCAACTGTATGTTTGGCTACGTGATCACCTTATCACCAAAGCAAATTCCTCGTATGTGTGAAACACGACTTGGCAATAAAGCTCCTTCTGATTCTGATTAATGATAGCTGAGTTTAAGACACAATACAGATGTTCTGTAAGGCACAGGTGTTATTTTGACAACTGCATTTCTGTTTCAAATATTTTTATTGTGAAGCATGCGAAGTTCCTGTAATGGATACCATGCCTTTTTCACAAGTTAACAGGCAAACGATCACAATACAGGGAGACAAAAGGGCAAAGCACACGATGAAAAACAATAACGGCATCTTATTTATGTGTACAAAGTCCAGGGCGCCTGCTATTGTGTGTTCTGCCTCATTGGCATTGCTTACTGAGAAACAGAGCCATCGATAATGTGATTAGTCACACGTGTGCTTTTTATACCATAAGTCAGCGTCTGAAGTAAAAGAGTACGCTACTTATTTAACATCGCACAACATTGTCAGAGAGAGTGAAAAGAAGATGCAGCAGCGTTATCGCCTGTTTGTCTATAACACAGCCAAAAACTGGCTGCTAAAATACCCACAATGCAAGTCAGCCAACTTGGCAATCATCACACATGCAGCAGCACTCCTTAACACCTGGAAAAAGTGGAGTTTACCCTTTCACCCGAATGAAATGTGGGCACTATTAATATTAGTATATGTTTTATGTGTAAAATTCTTAATTTGTAAAGTAACTAAAGGCATAGAAGTAGATGGTGGCATGAAAAGAAAATACTCTAGTTAACTACAAGTACCTCAAGTTCAGTACTCGAGAAAATGTACAGGAGAAATGTAGAAATTGTATTATTAATTAGTGCACTTATGTATGTTTCTTGTTTCAAAAGATGTCCATGTATTTAAAGTAGTCAGTGAGTTATGAAGGAAAATGTAAAAATGGTGCAATTGCCCCCGGTCTCCCCTACTTTAATTACTGCCCACCACTAAACATATAACTTTACATTTATTTCCAAGGGACTGCATTTTGTCACATGCTGCAGGCACTTTCATAACAAATGGGAAGCCCTTCTCTCCACGCAGGCACAATTTGCATGTCAGCATGTTATGGTTAGACCACAGGGAGCGGCCAGCATGAAGGACTGGAAACACTGAGGCGAGCTCACAGAGAGAGAGACCAGCCTGCAAAACCCCTGACAGCACACAGAGGAGGCTGCAGAGAGGTAAATCTAAAACATTTTGCAGTTTAAAGCGTTCAGTTTTCAAGTCCAGACATGCAGGGTGCCGTGTTTTGAACCTTGTGAAGTTACCTAACTTTCAGATTGTTCCGTGTTTACAGAGCTTCTGCTTGCGGATGTAACTTTCACGGTAACTCGCTGCGGAAGGTTTGTGAAGTTTCGCTGTTGGAGTTGAAGAGTTACATGAATGTAGTTTAACTTTATACGACCAGCGAGGCTTTTTATGCCGCTGGTTTAAGTATTAACGCATTTCTTAAAGGTCTCGGGTTATAAAATGAAAGTTGGTTTAAAGTAACTTCCGTGACCTGGAAAGATGTCGAGTTTGTTCAGAGTGCATACAGTTTCAATCACACGACCCTCAAGTTAGCTTTTGGGAAAGTTAAGGGAAACTTCCAGAATAAAAACCTAGAGCTGTCAAATCTGGACTAGATTATCCCAGAGAGGCTAAAGTATCTCTAAAACATAGTTTGAGATTTGTGAAACCTTTATTGTATTTGTGAAAATACAAAAAAAGGAGGATTTTCTATAATATTTTTCACATGTTGACCACATTAAACCAGGTTTAGTTAAAAACCATTATTCCTAGAGCTGTCAAATCTAGACTAGATAATCCCAGAGAGGCTAAAGTTTCTTTAAAACATAGTTTGAGATTTGTGAAACCTTTTGTTCTATTTGTGAAAATGAAAAAAATAATGATTTATACAATCTTTTTCGCATGTAGACCACTTTAAACCAGGTCCAGACCAAAAACCATTATTTCTACAGCTGTTAAATCTGGACTAGATTATCTCAGAAAGGCTAAAGTTTCTTTAAAACATAGTTTAAGATTTGTGAAACCTTTATTGTATTTGTGAAAATACAAAAAAAGGAGGATTTTCTACAATATTTTTCACATGTTGACCACATTAAACCAGGTCCAGACCAAAAACCATTATTTCTACAGCTGTCAAATCTGGACTAGATTATCCCTGAGAGGCTAAAGTTTCTTTAAAACATAGTTCGAGATTTGTGAAACCTTTTATTGTATTTGTGAAAATGCAAAAAAGGATGATTTGTACATCATGTAGACCACATTAAACCAGGTCTACTTAAAAAACACTATGCCTACAGCTGTCAAATCTGGACTAGGATGTCCCAGAGATGATAAGGTTTCTTTAAAACATAGTTTCAGATTTGTGAAACCTTTTATTCTAATCATGAAAGTGAAAAAAGGGCAACTTCTATGGTGTACTGTGGACTAAAACATAAATCTCCCTGCTCTCTGTGTTGGCTTCTCCACACATGCATACACCAGGTGAAGTGAAGATAGCAGGTGAATCTCAAAAAATTAGAATATCGTGGAAAAGTTAATTTTTTTTCCTGTAATTGAATTCAAAAAGTGAAACTTTAATAGGCAGTGAATCACAGCAGCAGAGGGAGGAGGAGGAGGAGGAAGGACGGATACTGACTGATGTCTGAGTTCTTCATTCCTACTAAACGTGCCTCAGTATTTTGATATCAGGAATATTATTTAATTTGACATTTCAGATTTGTTGTGTTGTAAACTTTTCTGTTAAATTTAAATTATGCATTTTTAATCCTGAAGTTAAAGACAACCAGGCTGACGTTGGAACTGTATAGCCAATATGCACACTTCAATATTTGTCATATCGTCTTCAAATGTATGTTTGGTACTCCATTATGCAGGAATCAGCGCCAGCACCAGCCCTGTGTTGGTAAAAACCTTAACAGTACATGTTAAAAGTTGATGTAAGAGATATATTAATATGATTTTGGCGTCACTCATTGAATCTTCTTTAAGCTGACCAAGACATCTGACCTCAAACTGAAATTCATCTCTTTTTTCTGCCCTCAGCGTTGAAGATGAGTTCCAGAGTGACAGCTGATCCGCAGAAAGAGGTGGAGGAGGAGGAGGAGGAGGAGGAAGAAGAAGAAGAAGAAGAAGACGAAGAAAAGAACCCGACAGAGGTGAAAATGAGTCAGATAGTGATGCCCTGTCACAGCAACCATCGACAGGAGCTGAGCGTCGGAGAGCTGCTCAAATGGATCGATTCCACCGCCTGCCTCTCTGGTGAGGTGTGTGTGTGTGTGATTCAGTATGAATCATGAGGTGTGTGTTGAAATGCTTTTACAGTGTTTAGTTTGTGAGTGTGTTGTAACTAGACTTCCTGACATTTCACCGGGGTATTTCCAGTATATGACAGTATTTGCATGTGATACAAGTCCCTGAAGCATGTATAGAATTGTCCATCCTACAATGCTTCTTGTCTAATGTGTAGTTAGCCAACAAAAATGATCTCCGTCCACACCAGCGTTTTAGCTGTGTATCAGAACTGATCTCCGTCCATATTAACACGACTGAAAACGCACGTCAGGTGACCGTTCACGTACACTGATTGTCTACAGCTACAAGAAAAAAGTACTACTCCAGACAAACAAAGAATAGCAACGGTGAAGAACCACACCAGAGATTTTTTTTGCATGGACTGACATCGAGGTGGAACTGTTACTGAAAGTAACACAGGAGTACAAAGAGACTGTGGCGGCGCACAGTGCAAATACAGTGACATGCACAGTACAAGTGTTTGAGTGTTATTTACACAGT